AATTACATTTTAGTTTCTGTTTTATGAATACATGTCCAACTCAATAAACATTAAAAAATTAAATGTGTGTTTTCACTTTCAGAAATGTAGAACCGTCACAAGCCTGAAAATCTGAACACATTAACCAAACCACCACATTTTAATGGACCAATCCCGTCGTTTTTTTTCTTCCTCTGTTCATGTCAAAGACTTCACCTAATACTGCAGTAGCAAATTGTGTTTTTATTATTATGCCTCCCTTTTAATATATCATGTCACCACACCAGGGAGTTGTTTGTATTTGTTTTTTTTTTCTTAATTGTAGTTGATCATCTACTGCTAGCACTACCAAAACCTCAGCAGAAATGATCTCAAACAAAGGTGTCAGGATGCCATTCTTACGGAAATCTGAAGAAAAGGTTTATGTATAGCAAATTACACAAGACCTGGACTAAAAATCAGTGGCTACAGGTCTTATGGAGTAATTCTTCCAAATTTGGGATTTTTGTTTCTAGTGAGTGGAGCTCAGGAGAGTGGTACGACAGTGATGGTTCAGCTCATGGTGTGAGGAATCTTGATGAGCTGATGAAATTTAAACATTGAAAAGTAGAGTTCTAGAATAAAGATGGTCATATGAACTACAGACTTGCCAGCTGGTAACAAGTGTGCAAACTCTGTTTTTTGTCTCATATACTACATTTCCATCTTGCCCATGTTTCAGTCAATAACTGCACCTATTTTGCATTTTCCTAATAATATAAAAAGCTCATTACTCGGGTCCTTCGGCTACCAGACCCGAGACCTGCCCGTGTTGCGGTTCTATGGAACCCGAAGAATGGAAAGAGACGGCGAGGAAGACCTAAAATAACATGGAGGAGGACTTTCCTTGAAGATTTACGTTCAGTCGAACTGTCATGGGATGAAGCAACAACTGCCGCGATAGACCGAGTTCGATGGCGTTCTCTTTTCGCCCGATGCGCCGATCGGCGCGGGAGGATCTAAGTCTAAGTAAGTCATTACTTTTCCACAGGCACGTTGAAATTGGAGGGGGGGGGGGTTCTTTAGCAGCTAGAATATATTACTTTACTGATCTTTATTTCAAATTTTCCCTGATTTGTCTGCATTTTGTGTATCCAAAAGATTTTTGGAAAGTTGAGTAAATTATTTGTCATCGTTTTTAAGTTAAGAACCTTAGATCTAGTTTACTGACCTTTTTTATTTCCCTCATTGTGCGTCCTCGATTCTACTCCTCAGCTCCTCTCCTAATGGATGCTTCAGTAATTTTGTCAAATCACTGATTCGTTTAAAATGAGCACCTTTCAGGCTCATTTTAAACCGATGTCAGTTAATATGACATTTGACACAACTGATCCTAAACTATTAAAACCACTACTTTTAATAAAACTTACTAGTTAAGGTGCAACAAGTGTGACAAGAGTTAGTGCAAACAAAGAAAAACAGATAGGTTGATTATTCTAAAAAGCTGTAACATGAGTCAAAACTGAAAGGGTAATTTTGGTTTTGTAGTCCAGCTGTGCCACACCTCCGTTAAATGTAAAAGCACTTCTACACACCTGCACATCCTTGATCTCTTTAAGCAAGCTTCCCCTGTCCTCTTGACTCAGAGACTCAATGAAAATAACCTAGATGGGTTATATTATTCTATTAAAAAATAATTATTAATACGTTTGAAAAAAGAAACAACAACAATGCCATTAGTGGTCTGTCTTGTTTTTGCATTTGAATTTTATGTAATATTCAGCATGTGGAGTCACTT